ATTCCTGGGCGCCGAGGAAGTCCGCCAACTCCTGGAGCGTGACCGGCTGCCCACGGACGGCAAGAGACGCGGTGAGGGCACGGAATTCCGGTCTCAAGCCGCAAAAAACAAAGCGATTCTGATCGTCGAGGGAGACGACGCGGCCGGCGAGGGTGAGCTCTTCAACAATCACCTGAGCTCGCCCGATGTAATCCGCAACCAACGAATCACCCTGGTCCAGTCCCTGCAATTGGCCGAGAAGGTTTAACGCGCGGGCACGGGAGGAAGACGACAACGTCTGAACAATGGCCTCCCAAAGGGCACGACTCGTGCGACGTCCGACGGCGATTGGCATGACCTCGTCAGAGAGGGAGGAGACAAGCATGGACAACAATGCTTGATCTTGACGCATCCAAACAGCATAGGCGGGGTTCGGCCGTGGCATAGCATCGGCGGTGTCGGCGTCGGCCGGAAGAAGAACAGCCGGTGAGGGTTTCGTACCATCAACAAACCCCATTAGGTCATGCCTGTGAAGAAACGGGACGACTTGCGTACGCCAAAACAAATAATTCTTGTAGGTTAACTTCGTACTGATGAAGTGATGTGCGGTGGATAGCGACACAATTGACGACGAACTTGACGACATAGCAGCATCAGACACGGTCCGTTCGGAGGAATTAACAGATCCGTCAGCCATAGGGACGAGAGACAAAGAAAAAAAAAACCCTAGCTTACTGATACTAGATGAGAACTGATTGTATTGTATTTACTGAACTTGATTACAATGAGATCAGATGATGTGAATATATAGAATAGAGAGTCACAGTGTGACAATGATAAGAAGTAGAGAGTCACAGTGTGACAAGGATAAGAAGTTCTAAACAGACTCATATACATAGAGTCCTAATAAAGCTGATATGGCATTTGCTTGAAACAGTTATATTATTTTTAATGCTGAGTTGACAGCAAATTCTCAATCCAGCAACTGCGATAACTTCTGTATTTTTTTTTAAAAAAATTTTGTTGCTTCATTTTTAATATTTAAATATAATTTATATATTGATATAAATTAATAATATTATTTTTATATATTGGGGATCACTTTTGAAATTTGATTGTATTTGTAGAGATGTAGTGTGAATAGTAAATAATTTACAAATTGGATAATGTGAAAGTGAGACTCAATTTAAAAATGATAGAGATTTGCAGGGATAAAAATAGACTTACAATTAAAACAGCTAAAAACTCGTTTTATGGGTAAAGTTAAGGATAGAGAGAAAGAATAAATTTAAAATTATTCAATATGTTTAAAGAATGCAAAGTGAAATTCACTCAGTCTCATATTACATTTTTTTAAGGTGGTAAAATATATTATTATTATTATTATATTAACTTAAAAAAGGAATAAGACAGTCCAGTACGTTCGTATAGACTGAGAGCCAGAGTCCTTAGCAAGTGTATGAGCCAACTGGTTTGCTGAAAGATGAATAAAACGACATAAACAATCTTGAAAAGTATTGACTAAAGAGTAATAGTTATCTAATATGAGACCGGAATATGAATATTGAATAATCCTTGTATCTGTGAAGTATAATGGTCATCACATTTAGATAATCAAACTTAAAGCAGACTTTGTCAAGATTACAGGTTTTTAATCATGAGAGTGTCTCTTTACATGCCATTCTAACCCTAAGGGCCCCACACCCCGACCCGACAGAGCAGTCTCTTTACATGCCATGGCTGTACATGTGGGGTTGTTCAATTCTCATATTACATTTTAAATCTAGTTGCATGTAGCAACATAAACTCAAGTCACCTCTAATTTACCTTCCTCTTTTTCTTTTTATTTTCGTCACACAAACATAACGTAAAAATAAAATATGCGGAGAAAATACAAGATGACCTTAAACGCAAGTGGGTCTTTACCAAAGTCTTTGATGCACACAAAATTCAACATTCCCAAAACAGGCTTTGAATTTGTAGGTTTCTTCGGTCTCAAGGTAGGGGAGAGCTTTTACTTTAACATTTATTTTTTCACATAAAAGATAAAGTAAACCAAATTGATTTCAACACTTTACTGCTTTTGCAATTTGTCCAATTCCTCATACTTTTTCTTTAATTTATTAGAAAACTCATAATCACTATCTAGATATGTATACCAGGTAAAACTCATCTTCTAACACTAACTAATAAAAGATTACAATGAAATAAATCATCATAAATTATTCATAATTAATCGACATGCTCAAATCGAAAATATCAATAAACAATTTTCATAAGGCAAGTCCCTTATCGCAACAAATCATTTGGCTAATCCCTTACCGCTTAGTGCGTTATACCGACCATCAAGACGGGGAATTAAACAATTTTTATAAAAGATTAAATTTAAAATTTTATATTATCAAATTATTTATTTGACCAACTTAATTACACTTACCCTGTTTATTTCATAAAAAAAAAAATGTTACACTGTTAAAATCAGCTCTTACTTTTTCTTCACTCATGCAATATTGACATTTCAACACTACAATCAATGCCCAACGCAAAATGATCATTACACCCTCCTCATCCATCCCTATGAGTCTATGACCCTATCTAGTGCATACCAACCAACCTCAACCTCCAAGTTTGTTACGTTTTTGTTTACGCCTTTCTTTTTCTTGCAATCAATGCATAAGATTGCTAACTTATGGTATGGTATGGATGGATACTTTTCTACTTTAACCCACAATGCTCACTAAAAATTCAACACTTTCCTGGATTAACCAAATTGAATTATTTCAAAAGTTTAACCCTGGTGTGAAATTGTCTCACGATTCACCAATAAGTATCTATAAGATTGATGCATGAGATTGGATCTGATCAATATTAAAATGTAATACTTATACTAAAAAAAATGTAATCTTAATAAGGAATAAAGTATTTCTTAGGAAAAGTGTAACAAAAATGTACGTAATAATAATATTACAGTTTTCATCTAAAGTATTATAATTTCTCTTAGAGTTAATTTCACTTTTAGTCCTATGATTATTGGGGTATTGTCAATTTCAGTTCACAACTTTCAAAACTAACAATTTAGTACCTTAACTATTCAATTTTTATCAATTTTAGTCATTATAGCCAAATTGCCGGCCAATTGTCGCCAATTTTTATCCACATCTCACTTGCCTCTATATTAATTAAAACAATGGTTCACAAATTAGCTTCCATTTTAACACTGAATTAAAATATTCCGGCGATAATTGGTCGATAATTTGATCGGACTGACTAAAATTGATAAAAATTGAATAGTTAAGGTACTAAATTGATAGTTTTAAAAGTTGTGCACTCAAATTGACAACACTCTAATAGTTATAGGACCAAAATTGAAATTAACTCTCTCTTATAAATAATATTGACAAGTATTTGTTAATTACTTATAAGGAAAAATATAATATTTTTAAATTTCGCATATAAGAGCATCCACACTAGTTGATTCTTGTTGCCATTTTTAAGTGGGTATACTGACTCTATTATATTGTAATGACGTTCGATCTCATGACCTCCCATATGGGAGATGTTACTACATGTCATCTGAGCACAAGGTGTTTGGCATATATATATATATATATATATATATATATATATATATATATATATATATAGAGAGAGAGAGAGAGAGAGAGAGAGAGAGAAAGAGAGAGTAAAATAATCATATGAGAAACTGATCTCAAAAGAAAAATAAGAATCAATCTCAATTATCCATATGTCCAAATTTATTGGTTTTAGATAAAGGAAGGAAAAAAATCGTGATGTCATATTAGTAAATTTTTCAACTTTGAAAGTGCATTTTTGTGGGTACGTTCAAAGGCTCACAAGACCCTTAAGTTATACATTGTCTGGCGACCCCCATGCCATCTAGATGAAGGAGGTCCTTAATAGAATCCAGAGGGTTGGGGAGGACGGTCGTACCTCAAGGTCCCTCTTTGACCTAAGTTTGAGTCGGTCAGCACAACTATTCCCTCCGCAAGATATGCGAGATAAAGAGGATCTCACACTCAGAAATCAACCTCATACAATCCGCCACCAAATTGGAACAAGTTTGACCCAAATTCAGCCCCTTACGAACCACTTTGATAGTACATTTTATACACTATACATTGCATTTTTTACTAGTTTGAAAATGCAATGCACTTATGAACACCCTTTAAAATTTAGGCAAAAACTTGTCTTTGTATGTGAAACTAGTCGTGTCAAGCTGAAATGTAATATTTAGTATTACATTTACTCGTATAAATATTATATTTGCATATTGATCCGAACCATTTTACAGATAAAGTGACCCTAGAGTTTGTGGATTAAATTTTTTGATTTGATTTGATGTTTCACTTTTTATTTTTGTTTATGAATCACTTTTTAGTACATATGGTTTAGTATTTAAAAGAGTTAATTCCATAAGTAGTCTATTGTATTTGGTGACAATTTTAAATTTAATCCTAAACTATCATTTTTACATTGTAGTATATCTAAATGAAAGTCTAACTCGAGTACCATTAGATCACATAATCTTGATAATTTCAACTAATTAATTAATTTATAACTTTAAATAATCTCTGATTTTTAGTAATTAAATTTTCAATCAATTTTTAGTAAAATCCTAAACTAATTAAATTTCTTCTTCAAACAGAATTATCCAAAATCTCACCTGAGTGAAGCAGAGAATTTTTTGAAAAAAGGCCTGTCGCCTGCCTAGGACTTTGGATAAGGAGTCAGGAGGCACAAACACCAAGCCTATTTTCGGCATTTCAATATTTCATCCATCATCCCAGCACGTGGCGTCGTCTACGTGCGAGATCTCCACAACAATGCAGCTCAGAAGCCGACACGTGCCCCTAGTCAGGTCACATCCGGTAACGTGTCGCCGCTCCTCCAAGTCGCCAATTTTTCCTTTCTTTTATTTATTTATTTATTATTTATTGTCCTCAAAAAAAAAATTATTATTTATTTTCCTCCCTCATTTTCCTATCTTTAAATTATCAAATCTGGACGATCATTTCCTGCTTCGCTTTGCCTCGCCGTCCGGTTTCCATAACAACTGTCCAACCACCGCTAAAACTCTCTCTCTCACTGTTCAGATATTATCCGTTTACCAATTTTGTATCTGAAAGTAGGTGAGGAGTCGATATTCCTTATCGGCAAATCGATTCTGTCGCCGGAGATATGGATACTCCGTCGAAGGATCGTGCCTTCTAGCGCTGGAGTGCCGACCATCGTACATCTCTCCGGCTGCGAAATCGGCGACCTCCTCTCCTCTAGCCACGTCTTCTTTCTAAACCCTAAACAAAGGACGACGGTGTTCCTCTCAACTCAGACTCCGAGTTATTCCTAGCTTAGAACACCGGTATTCCGCCAGATAAAGGTATATTTGCTTTCCGCCCAACCCTCTCCAATTTTGGACGTTCGAAGATCATAGATATTAGATATACCACTGCTTTTTAGGTTTTAAAAAGAATTATTAATAATTTCTTGCTCTAGAGTAGAAATTAGGTAGAAGTAAATATTTGGGGGTAATTTGAGTAAGCTTCGGCTCCGATGGAGTGGAGGGAATGAAATATTACAAGTGATTTTGCATCGGTGGTTCCATGAGGATTCAGCCTATAGATTTCACCTCACCTAAAGAACCGTCTGGATATGAACCGGTTAAGCCTGTGGCTAAGTCGCGGTTCAAGCGGCTTTTCGAGAGGCAATTTCCTGCCCTTCTGAGGACTCTGTCGGGGGAGAAGCCGGCCGCCAGTGAGGAGCCCAGCTGCAACAAAGATGCCTCGGATGAGTTGTTCGAACCCAGCTCCGTTTGCTTGGCTAAGATGGTTCAGAATTTCATCGAGGAAAGTGAGGAGAAGCATCGATGCAGTCGGAACCGATGCTATTGCCTCAACAAAAACTGTACGGACTCTGAGGAAGATGCTGCCGATTCATGCAATTGCTTCGGTGAATCGAGCAATAACTCCTCCTCTGCGGATGCATGTGAAGTTCTGAAAGTAATTTACATGAATATAGTATTCTGCGCTTGTGAATCAGTTTAAGAGCCCTGCTTATCACTAAAACATTTCTTTTTATGCAGCAGAGTTTGGTGGGTTGTGTGGTTGTATCAGAGAGAAACCTCTTGGCAGACACAACTAAGATCATTGAGAAGAACAAGATTTGCAAGCGAAAGGATCATGTCTGCCGGAAGATCATAGTGGATGGCCTCATAGCTCTTGGATACGATGCTTCAATCTGTCAATCTAGATGGGAGAAATCTGCTTGTATAACTGCTGGTAATTTTTACCCTCTTAACACTGAAATTGGAGTTTTTGGGAATTGATTGTGTTAGGACAGTACTCTATAGATATATCTGTTCATTAAAATGTACAGCTGTGAAGATATGAATTGAATTTGCAGGTGATTATGAATACATTGATGTGGTAATTCAAGGAGAACGATTGGTAATCGACATTGAGTTCAGATCAGAGTTTGAAATAGCTAGGTCCACAAAAACTTACAAGTCAGTTCTTCAAGCATTGCCCAACATTTTTGTGGGTAAATGCGATCGCCTGCAAAAGATCATTTCTATAGTATCTGAAGCAGCTAAGCAAAGTTTGAAGAAGAAAGGTATGCCTGTTCCACCGTGGAGGCAAGCTGAGTATGTCAAGGCCAAATGGTTCTCTCCCTACACTAGAATTGACTTGACATCTTCAAAGGCAGAGACTTGTTTGAAGGTGGAGGAGGAGAGTGTGTGTTTGTGTGAAGCTAACTTGAAAGTGGGAAAATCGAAGCCGAGTAGTAGGAAGGAAGATGATGAGAGTTGCAGTGAGTTTGAGGTTCTGATGTTTGGAGAGGGAACTTCTAAGTCCAAATCTTATGGTGAAGATGATGATAAGGAGGTGGGAGTAGGTGAAGCACAGGAGACTAAAGTGAATGGAGGGAAGAAAATGACTGGTTTATCTTCTTTGATTGAAGAGAAGGCTTGAAGTTTTGGAGCTTTAATTCAATGGTCTCTGTGTTTTAGTATACTAATAATATTTTTTTTCTTTGTTTTCTGCCCCTGGGTTTTGGTATTTGGGGCACTATTGAATGCAGTCCAAGTATTATATGTCTTGGCCTAAGTATGTCTTGATCAAGTAATGCCCTTCACCTTTTAATGTAAGGGTACTAAGTGTTAATGCAATACAATCACTAGTAGTAATAGTGGCAGTAGTGAAGAATAGGGGTTGTGTAACTCTGACATTTTGGTGTGTGACCTCAATAATATTGATTGATCTTAATAACCCATTGTTTGATTTTATTTAGTGTTTTTCCTCTTCTGCGTAGTGTTGCAATCGTTATATCCTACACCACGGCGCACATAGCATTGTGCGCCGTGCGCCTCCCAAAACGACGTCGTTTTGGGGTAGTGTTGGGAGGCGCGGTAGGAAGTTGCTGAGATTATGTGTATTTGTTCATAACGTTATGTGTATTTGTTCACAACGTTATGTGTATTGGTTCATACAGTTATGTGTATTTTTTATACTTTTTATACAATTATGTACATCCGAATCAGAAAATTTGTGTGTATTATGTTAAAAGTTTATGTTTATTATGTATTATGTTAGATTATGTGTATTATCTTTTAAAAAGAGTATGTATATTTTGTTATATAATTATGTACATTCATGTATATATATAACATTATGTGTATTCTAGTATAACATTATATACATTCTTGAACAGCGAGTTTTTTTTAAAGAAAAAACTACTGCCATTCACTGGGGGCGGGAAATTTCAAAAAAAAAAAAAATAATTAAAACGACGTCGTTTTGCATCTGGACGCATACTGCAACGCGCGCCGTGGTGTAGGATATAAATTGCCGTAGTGTTGTATATTTTTCTCCTTTCTCAGGCAAGGGTCCAACTTACACTTTGGACCAGAACAAAACATTAAGGACCAGAACAAAACATTTTTTGGACCAGAAGATTATGTATGTACCTACCACTTATTATGTGGTAGCTAATATTAATAGATTATGGTATAACAATTGCCTCTCTCATGGGTCTTCTTTCTCCTCCTTTTGGGCCTTATAAGCTGGGTGGGCCTTGTTAAGATGTACTAGTTGTGTAGTTGTGTTATTTTGACCAAATACTCTTATACTCCATAGTATGAATGGTACAAGTAGGATGGTCCTCATCTCACACTAGTGAAGAATCTATGAACAAGAACAAATAAAAATGCAAACATACTAGCCATGACTAACAAAAGTCTTTAAATTCTTCTCACCCATGACGGGATGAAATTATTAAAATTCTCACTAATGATGGGATGAAATCATTAAAATTTTTATAGGGAGAATGACGTTTTTGGTTTTTGAATTTTTCCTAAGTCACTTTTCAATTTGTAATTGTTGTCTTGGTATCTTCTTTTTACTCTTGATTCAATGTAAGTGTTAAAATTTAATAGAAGTTTATAAAACTTATTATCAAAATGATAAAATTGTAATTTTGCAATGCCCTTTTTATTTCATTAATTTTCTCTTTCAAAGCACTCTCATTTTTATTCTCTAATAAGTGCACCTCGAAGAGTAAGGTCACCATTATCCACATAAAAGTTACCTTGCATGCAAACGCTTGAATCTTGTCAAAAAGGTACATCTAAATTATTATAATTTATGTCTCATATTTTATCTCTTAACCAGTCGGTAGGAGAGGGGACGTTCGGGAGTCAAAATCTTCGTAGTTGGAGGTGATGCATGGACGTGAGAATCGATTTGGCCCCCAAGGGGCCAAGCCCAATGCCCCACCATAGCCCAAGAGTTGGCCAACGTTATAGGAGTTCAAATGGCACAATAGTAGCGGGGTCACCACTAGGTTAGGCACAACAAACAACCATGGGCCTCGATGTTCCAAGGGACCCATCTCCTACAAGGTTGAGTACTCCCCAAACTGAGAGGAAGCTAGTAAGGGAAAGATTGGCACCACGAAGCGGGGACGGGGGGTGGGGGGTGGGGTTCCATGGTGTAAAGGAGGTAAGACGGAAGGAGCCTATTAAGAGGGAGCTAAAGTCCACTCTGAAAGAAACAATATACGAGAACACCAATCGAGATCCATTCATCGACGCCTAGAGGGTCGATAAATAAAGAACGGAGGTCAGGACATAGTCTCTGAGGAATGGGCAAATAAGTTAGCCAAAAAACTGGAAGAGTTGCTTCTCTTGAAGGAGGATGACGAGTTGCCTGTGATACCGAAAACCATGATCACGCATCCTTTCACAAGGAAAATCATGGAGGAGCCCTCACCGACTAACTTCAAAATTCCTAGTGTAAAGAGATTTGACGAGGTAGGGGACTTGCAAGAACATATCATGACTTATCAAGCCACAATGATATGATGGGGCTAATGATGTAGTAATGTGTAGGGCATTTTTCTTGACCCTTGGGGGATCTGCCCAACATTGTTTCTCGAGGTTACAAAGAGGATCAATGGATTCTTTCTAAGATATAGCGAATAGCGATCAAATTCACAATCCACTTCATATTGGGGATGAATGTTATAAAATATTTTTCTTACATGACCACAGTTAGGTAGAAGCATGACGAATCTCTCACTAAGTTCTTGACTCGATAGTGAGTGGAAGAAGTGTAGTGGAGGGGATGGACAAAAATTTAGCCATCACAAGGTTCATATACGATATGTGCATAGGAGACTTATATAAGAGTCTTAGTAGAAATACTCTAATTGGCTATGTGGTGATCATGGTGAAATACAATAGATGCGTCGAGGCGAATTAGGCCAAAAGACATGAGGAAGAATGATCGACTAAAAAACCTCAAAAAAAAATGCAAAATCAACACAAGAAAGGTCTAGACCGAACTTATGACTGAAGTGGAGGGCTTGCGAGGCCAAGCCCCTTAATCCTAGGTGAACCCCCCCTAACCCCCCCACCCCCCAAGGTTAATCATACAAATAACATTAATACCTTTGACAACACGACTAAGTGAGGGCTTGGCCTACACTGATGTGTGAAATATGGTGGGGTTACCTCCCCCACAAGTTGGAGAAATCTCAAGTATCGACACCCAAGTAAACCCAGCTCCCACATCTACCAAGGCCATCAGAGGCATGACAAGGCATGAGGTACAAGTTTGATTAGGAGGAAAGTTTTGGCTTAGAGCCTCTAAGGATCCAAAGCTTATCAGGTAGATTGTAGAGGTCGAAGATGGTTGCAAAATAATCGGGAAAGTTTAGGTATTGATGGGTGAGCGCAAGGATCATAATGCGAGGCAATGGGGCTAGTGTTTACTACTTCCTTTAGTTGTCTAGACAAATTAGAAGAAGTGAAGGACTTGGATGCATTGGATAATGGGTTTTGGGTCCAAGGTAATTGATTGGACCGAGGAGCACATGCCCAATGATTAGTTAGGTCCACAGAATGATTGGAAGCCATGAGCAAGGTTTAGGGACCTATGTGAGAATGGGAGAGAGTTAGGGGTGTGAAATGGGCTAAGGATCAAACTTAAGGGCGTAAGATTGCAAAGACTAAAGTGATGGGGTATAAAGTGAAAAAGGGGGAGAGTTTGAGAGTCAAAATGCAACAAGGCATAAAGCATAGTGTTGCCCCAAAAATAATATAAAGAGGCGGTTTTTACTCCCTCCAAACATTATTGATACTCAGTTAGAAACTATACAAATATGATTAGGCAATTGCACCTAACATTTTTTAGCATAGAAGGATGAGCTGTCATATCGAACAAGGATTGGACTACGAGTACTAGTACTAACTATGATTTTATTATCTAGCTTAAATATATGATGATGAATTAATTAAATTTTTTTTAAAAAAAATAAAATACTAATCAACAAGTCAACAACCAAGGCAAGCAAGAAGAATTTAAGACAAAGTTAAAGAAATCAACCCGTGAATAAAGGGTACTTGAATTTATGAATCCCCTTGTGACCTCCTTGACCATAATAAATAAATGCGCAAAATAATGGCATATGCTTGAGACAGTGAGACCTCCTAATTTAAGCTAATATCTTTCTCAATAGTATTAACAACTAATCTCTAGGTTAATTAATCATAATGTCTTCTAAATTTAAAAACCTCAAAAATTGCATTAAAGATTTATGAGTTGTATTGAATAATTTGACTCAAACATTGAGGATTGATGGCACCCTATCTCTAGGGTTGCATTCCACTCCTTCAAATCGTGTGAGATCTACACATAAAGAATATCTCTACCGCAAGTACATGAATCAAACATGAATTTAATAAGCTAGCATTATTAATTCAATAACAATAAAGAATACAATTAAATCAAATGATAATAAACAATTGTATTAAGGTAAGAAAACAATTAAGAACAATGTTTCTGTTATAAATACTAGTATTTGCACCCATGCGATGCACGGAATGGATTTGTTGTAATATATTAATAATATATGAATCAATATATAATTATTTAAATTAGAATATCAAATATAATATAGTACAATTAAAGATATGATTTGGATCGTTTATATATTTTGATGTTATCATTGATTGAATTTGTGCAAATAATTGCTCAAATTAATAGCTATATTTAGATGTACGCATGCGGTGCTATATTTTGAAGATTTTATTTATCATTGTTTAGTATTTTCATAAATTAGGCAAATGTGCTCGTTATCTAACAACTCAGTTATATAAATGAATTGTTATCCTTATTCACTTGTATGGAAGATATACTTTTTTTTTTGTCAAGATATATAACATTTTTTTCATTTAAAAAAAAAAAAAACTTAATATCACCGATTATATTTACACATTATTGAAACCTCTTTGTAGACGACATTGGTAGTGACAACACAATCTTGTTCATCTTCGTCTAGAGCTAACACTTTCAATCCATCAAGACGGGTTACCTGGGTGAAAATATATAATGGTAGAATGTCACTTAATTAGTTATCCTTTTATATTTTCAGTTAATTAGTAATATCATATTCATTTTTAGCCAATTATTTTTTTAAATATTTTCAGTCAATTAGTCAATTAGAATATCAAATGCAATGATATTTTTACCTAATTTTTGTTCCATTTTTATTTGATGATGTTGATATTATTATTGAAATATTTCTATTTCATTTTTAATTTACCTTTACTATTGTTTAAAATATGCATTTACTATTGATAATGTAGAATATTATTATTAAAATATTTTTCTTCAATTTTTAATTAAAATGCAATGATCTGACCATTTCTTTTTTTATTTTAGTCAATTATGAATCATTTTTTATTTGCAATCAATTATTAATATTCATTTTCTTTTATATTTT